GTAGGTAGGTAGGTAGGTAGGTAGGTAGGTAGGTAGGTAGGTAGGTAGGTAGGTATGCAGGTAAGTAGGTAGGTAGGTAGTTTTTTCTTTTTATTTTATCTGTCAGAACGTCATTTTACTAACTCTCAACCAATTTGTCCAATAAAAAACAAACCATCTTAGCAAAATTGTGAAGTGTGCTGACAAAATGAGTTACTTCTCTGATTAGATTCAAGCCTTAAGGAAATAGATAAATAACTCGAACAGGTGAAGTTTTTACAATTTATAAGTATGAAATAATAAAAGACGGGTTATATTTAAAGAACATGGCATCAATTGAAAATCTACAAGTTTGACCTTAATGTCGATTTCTGGCCAATATCACCATTTGTGGACTGCTAGAAGTAACTCATTTTGTCAGCATGTCTCACTCAGGTAAATCATTCTCCCTTCCTTAACCAATGATGGTCCCACCAAAAAAACAAATCATCTGAGCAAATGTGTCTTGTCATCTCTTTATTTCCACCCTTTTTTCCTTTAGATTCGCCAGCTTCCCTAGACGCCACAATGGTTTTGTCCAGCTCCCAGATGATCGCTCTGTCTTTACTCACCATAGGAAGCTTAGCTTGCATAGCTGGTGTTATCTCCCCTAACTGGGAATACCAGGTCATCCGGGTGAGAATAGATTTATTATTTCCCCCTGATTTATTCCATTCTTCCGTTCACTGATGTATTCATCCGCTTTCCCATTACGCATCGATACATTCTTTTCTGTTAATTAATTCTCGTACCTATTCATTCATTCCGTCCTCCATCCTTTCATCCGTTCGTTTATTTCTTCTTTCATTCAGCCATGCATTCATCTATTGATTAATATGAGCTTTCATTCATCTGTGTGCTGGTCTTGAATCGTACACATTCGAACTAATTGTTGTTGCAAGTGCCATAAAACACACATACGAAAACAAAAACAGTACACTGGCGACGACTACGGGAGGGCATGAGGATTTTGTGGTACGTGTTTTGCCGCCCCCGCAACTGCATAAGGTCGTATGAGCGCGCGTGACACATTTAACTTTTTCAGTTGGTAGGAAATTTTGAATTCTGC